CGCGCATACCGAAATCCTTTAAAAACCGTCGGCCTCGCAAAGATTTCAACATCGAGTGCCCAAAAAACAGATTGATCACACGGGGGTTCGCAACACCGATGTCCAAAAAAAACGTGCGCGCGCGCTCTTGCGAATTCGTAAGAAAACCATGGGTATCCCAACATACTCATAAAATGCGATCAATAGACCCAACGGGCTGTTCCCGCGCGCATGTCGAAATCGTTCGGGCGCCCTAGCGCGCGTGTTGGGGTGGCACGATCCGTGTCAAATAATACCATGCGGGCCAATCTCGCGCGTCTGCCGCGCGCGCATGTCGAAATCCTTCCGAAACCTCCATCACCGACGCGAAGACGCCGTCATCGTCGTCGGCGTGATCACCATCGGCGCCGTCACTAGCTGTCCCGTCGTCTCAACCCGTGGCGGCTCCCCCTTAATGCAGCGCCTGCTATACCGTATTGGATTGCCAACAGCAAGAAGACTAGGGGGCATAACCAAGCAAATTGCTTGAGACATTCCCACAATCTGGGCGCGAATCCTGGAGTGTCCCCGCCCCTGGTGGTTTCCCCGTGGGGTGCCCACGTACCACGCCTGTTTTATCGCGGTGAACAGTGAAACACCCAGGCAAAGCGCCTGAGACACTCCTACAATCTGAGCGCGATTCTTGAAGTGTCCCCACCCCTGGCGGCTTCACTTTGGGGTGCCCAAGTGCCACGCCTGCCATTTCGCGGTGGGCATTGGAACATCAAACAAAATAAGTCAGGGGGGCTGAGACAGGCAAAACGTTTGAGACGTCCCCACAATCGAAGCGCGAATCTTGGAGTGTCCCCATCCCTGGCGGCTCCTCCTTGGGGTGCCAAGGTGCCACGCCCATTATGTCGCGGTGGCCTGTGGACCGCCAAAAGGAAAAATTCAGGGTGGCAGAAACAGGCAAGGCGCCTGAGACATCCCCGCAATCTGAGCGCGAATCCTGGGGTGTCCCCACTTCTGGCACCCCCACCTTGGGATGTCCAAGAGCCACGCCTGCTATATCGCGGTGAGCAGTGCAACAGAGAAGTCTGCGGGACAGAACCAGGCAAACCGCTTGAGACACCCCCACAAAGCAGGAGCAAACAAACCGCTCGAGGCATCCACACAAAATCTGGGCGCGAATCCTGGAGTGTCCCCACCCGTGGCGGCTCCCCCGTAATTCAGCGCCTGCTATACCGTATTGGATTGCCAACAGCAAGAAGACTAGGGGGCATAACCAAGCAAATTGCTTGAGACATTCCCACAATCTGGGCGCGAATCTTGGAGTGTCCCCGCCCCTGGTGGCTTCCCCGTGGGGTGCCCAATTACCACGCCTGTTTCATCGCGGTGAACAGTGAACCACCCAGGCAAACCGCCTGAGACATCCCTACCATCTGAGCGCGATTCTTGGAGTGTCCCCACCCCTGACGGCTTCACTTTGGGGTGCCCAAGTGCCACGCCTGCCATTTCGCGGCGGGCATTGAAACAACCAACGAAATAAGTCAGGGGGGGCGGAGACAGGCAAAACGTGTGAGACATCCCCACAATCGAAGCGCGAATCTTGGAGTGTCCCCGTCCGTGGCGGCTCCTCCTTGGGAAGCCAAAGTGCTACGCCTATTATGTCGCAGTGACCTTAGGACCGCCAAAAGGAAAAACTCAGGGTGGCAGAAACAGGCACGGCGCCTGAGACATCCCCGCAATCTGAGCGCGAATCCTGGAGTGTCCCCACTTCTGGCACCCCCACCTTGGGATGTCCAAGAGCCACGCCTGCTATATCGCGGTGAGCAGTGCAACAGAGAAGTCTGCGGGACCGAACCAGGCAAACCGCTTGAGACACCCCCACAAAGCAGGAGCAAACAAACCGCTCGAGGCATCCACACAAAATCTGGGCGCGAAGCCTGGAGTGTCCCCACCCGTGGCGGCTCCCCCGTAATGCAGCGCCTGCTATACCGCATTGGATTGCCAACAGCAAGAAGATTAGGGGGCATAACCAAGCAAATTGCTTGAGACATTCCCACAATCTGGGCGCGAATCCTGGAGTGTCCCCGCCCCTGGTGGTTTCCCCGTGGGGTGCCCAAGTTCCACGCCTGTTTTATCGCGGTGAACAGTGAACCACCCAGGCAAAGCGCCTGAGACATCCCTACCATCTGAGCGCGATTCTTGAAGTGTCCCCACCCTTGGCGGCTTCACGTTGGGGTGCCCAAGTGCCACGCCTGCCATTTCGCGGTGGGCATTGAAACATCAAACGAAATAAGTCAGGGGGGGCAGAGACAGGCAAAACGTGTGAGACATCCCCACAATCGAAGCGCGAATCTTGGAGTGTCCCCATCCCTGGCGGCTCCTCCTTGGGGTGCCCAAGTGCCACGCCTATTATGTCGCGGTGACCTTTGGACCGCCAAAAGGAAACATTCAGGGTGGCAGAAACATGCAAGGCGCCTGAGACATCCCCGCAATCTGAGCGCGAATCCTGGAGTGTCCCCACCTCTGGCACCTCCACCTTGGGATGTCCAAGAGCCACGCCTGCTATATCGCGGTGAGCAGTGGACCACCAACAGAGAAGTTTGCGGGACATAAAGAGGCAAACCGCTTGAGACATCCCCACAAAGCAGGAGCAAACAAACCGCTCGAGGCATCCACACAAAATCTGGGCGCGAATCCTGGAGTGTCCCCACCCGTGGCGCCCCCCCCCCCCCACCCTTAATGCAGCGCCTGCTATACCGCATTGGATTGCCAAAAGCAAGACGACTAGGGGGCATCACCAAGCAAATTGCTTGAGACATTCCCACAATCTGGGCGCGAATCCTGGAGTGTCCCCGCCCCTGGTGGTTTCCCCGTGAGGTGCCCAAGTACCACGCTTGTTTGATCGCGGTGAACAGTGAACCACCCAGGCAAACCGCTTGAGGCATCCCTACAATCTGAGCGCGAGTCTTGAAGTGTCCCCACCCCTGGCGGCTTCACTTTGGGGTGCCCAAGTGCCACGCCTGCCATTTCGCGGTGGGCATTGAAACAACCAACGAAATAAGTCAGGGGGGGCAGAGACAGGCAAAACGTGTGAGACATCCCCACAATCGAAGCGCGAATCTTGGAGTGTCCCCATCCCTGGCGGCTCCTCCTTGGGGTTCCCAAGTGCCACGCCTATTATCCCAGTGCGACCCTACCTAGAAGTTGAAGCCCCTAGGAAAGCAGCATTAGTAGCAACAGTAAAGATACGCTAAAGCTACGCGAATGCTAACGCTAAGCTAACGCTGAGCTGAAGTTCAGCTAAAGCTCAGCTAAAGCTAAGTTAAAGCTAAGCTAAAGCTAAGCTGCAGGTAAGCTAAAGCTAAGCTAAAGCTAAGCTAAAGCTACGATAAAGCGAAGCTAAAGCTAAGTTAAAGCTAAGCTAACGCCAAGCTAAAGCTAAGCGAATGCTAAGCTAAAGCTAAGCTAAAGCTAATATAAAACTAAGCTAAAGCTAAGCTAAAACTAAGCTAACACTAAGCTAAAGCTAAGCTAAAGCTAAGATAAAGCTAAGCTAAGGCTAAGCTAAAGCGAAGCTAAAGCTAAGCTAACGTTAAGCAAAAGCTAAGCTAAAGCTAAGCTAAAGCTAAGCGAAAGCTAAGCGAAAGCTAAGCGAAAGCTAAACTAAAGCTAAGCTAAAGCTAAGCTAAAGCTAAGCTAAAGCTAAGCTAAGTTATGCTAAGATGAGATAAGCTAAGCTAAGCTAAGCTAAGATGAGATAAGCAACGCTAAGCTAAGGGGACGTACCTGGGGGAACCGCGGGGCGGGGACCGGGGGAACCGCCCGGGGCGCTTTCCACTGCCCGCCCCTTTAAGCTAAGAGAGTAAGAACCCTCTAGGCAGAGCCTAGGTAGGGAATTATGTCGCGGTGACCTTTGGACCGCCAAAAGGAAAAATTCAGGGTGGCAGAAACAGGCAAGGCGCCTGAGACATCCCCGCAATCTGAGCGCGAATCCTGGAGTATCCCCACTTCTGACACCTCCACCTTGGGATGCCCAAGAGCCACGCCTGCTATATCGCGGTGAGCAGTGGACCACCAACAGAGAAGTTTGCGGGACAGAAACAGGCAGACCGCTTGAGACACCCCCACAATTTCAGCGCGAATCCTGGAGTGTCCGTACCCCTGGCGGCTTCCCCGTGGGGTGCCCAAGAGCCACGCCTGCTATATCGCGGTGAGCAGTGGACCACCAAAAGAATGAACTGGGTGGCAGAAACAGGCAAACCGCTCGAGACATCCCCACAATCTAAGCGCGAATCCTGGAGTGTCCCCACCCCTGGCCGCTCCCCCTTGGAGTGTCTCACGTGCCACGCCTGCCATATCGCGGTGAGCAATGGACCACCAAAAGAAAGAGAGGTCTAAGCGTGAGTGAGTCTGAGTGAGTCTGGGTGCGAGTGAGTCTTCACGTGAGCGGGTCTGAGTGTGAGTGAATCGAAGGGAGATGCGGTTATGACGGAGCCTGTGCGATGAAGAGTGACTCTGAGTATGAATGAGTCCGAATAAAAGTGATTCCGAGTCTGAGTGAGTCTGAATGTGATGTATGTTATGGTTGGGTGACTCTGAGTACGAATGAGCCTGAGTATGAGTTCTTGCGTGTTTGAGGGAGTCTGAGTGTGATGCGAGTGAGAGAGAGAGGAGTGGTGTGAGTATGAATTGGGCTTGAATGATTTCAGTTTGAGTGTGTGAGTGATCTGAGTGGGGAAGCTTCGGAGGCGCCGACGTAATAACAGGAGCTCCATCTCAGGATATGGGGAGAAGGGAAGTCGGAGATTTTGCAAAAAAAAACCCTTCGAAGGATTGCAAAAAAAACCTGGATTGCAAAAAAAACCCTGGGCGAAGGATTGCAAAAAAACCCTTCGAAGGATTCGCAAAAATCCTGGGTTTTTTTTTGCAATCCTTCGTTTTTTTGCAATCCTTCGGTTTTTTTGCAATCCTTCGTTTTTTTGCAATCCGTCTTCCTTGCCGCTCGTCGCCGCACCGCGCCCGGGCTGCAAGAGGAGGCCTTCGAGCTGGACGGCGACTGGTTCGAGTCCGGCGGCTGGGGCCCGAAGCCGGGCGGCCGCCGCACCCTGCAGCCCGGGTGCGTGACCAGGCTGGAGCTCGCCAGCGAGGAGCCCGCGGGTCGTCGTCGCCCTTGCCGTCCTCGTCGTCGTCCTCGTCGCCCTGGTCGTCCTTCGCCGTCGCCTCCTCATCCTCGCCGCCCTGGTTGGTCGTCCTCGTCGTCGTCCTCGTCCTCGTCCTCGTCCTCGTCATCCTCATCGTCCTCGTCGTCGTCGTCCTGCCGTCGTCGTGGCCGTCGTCCTTGTCCTCATCGTCTTCGTCGGCGTCGTCCTCGTCGTCGTCTTTCTCGTCCTCGTCTTCGTCGTACGCCTCGGGTGCCGCGAGCAGTCCACAGCTTGAGTTGTAGAAAGATGACATGGCAATTCCTGAGAGGCTGCATTCAGCGTCGACGCTAACATTCCCTTGGGCACGAGCTGGCCTAAACCAGCCTAGTCAGGCCTGATCCGGCCTACTTTGTTTCGACATAGGCTCATGTGGCGCCGATTCGTGCTCAATCGAATTCAATGGCAGTTCAATCTAGCTTACCTAGTAGTCCCGAAGGGCTTCCACGAAGACCTCCCAGGAGTTGTCTCCTAAGACCAGAACATGACTAATCGAGGATACGTAGAGTGGGGGTTGGCCCAAGCTGTGGCCAGGGATCGACCCCAGCTCGAGGCTGCTGCTGTTCTCCTTCAGGGGCCGCCCGGAACGATTGTCTCCGAGCCCCACCTCGGGCCATACGCGCGCCCCGAAGCTCAGGGCGCCTGCGACAGGATGCAGGATCAAGGTCCGAGGTCTCGAGACTTCGGAGGCGCGTGGAGGGTTCCAGGAGGCTCCTGGTCACAAACGGCGGGGACGTGGCTCCAACAGGCGGGCCAGGATCGACCCCCCGGGAGGTCTCGGGGCAGTCTGAACGAACCTCTTGGTCGAAGTCTCGGCTCGGTCGGCTAGAGGTCACGGTCGGCTGAGTTCGGCTCGATTCGCCAGAAAGCACACGTGGCTGGGCTCGGAAGGATCACGCCGGGTTGCCGATGCACCAGAGAAGCGGCGCGATGCAGAGTCCGATTGAACTCATCTTGACGTCGCCGATGTTCTCTATCCTGGAGTCTGATTTTGCGCTCCAGCTTTCTCCAGCCAAGGGGCGCATGTGGGGAGGAGGCCTGGCGCTGGCGGAAGCCTGCCGTCCACGCACGTCGTAAAGTTTACGTTGTTGTGGTTTGCGCCTTCTTCAGAACGAGGAGGATCAGCGCCCACAAAAGGCCAGAGGATCTGGCCGCATCGCCGATTCAGCGGCGTCGCGGCACGATCTGGAGCCCGAGTTCTCCATACCGCAGTCGCCGATGCAACGCCGACTGGGTGAGATCAACGGACCTCATCAACCACGGCGCCATCGATGAGGTCTCCAGAGGAGGCGGACGAGGAGGACAAGCGGCAGGAGGAAGAGGCAGTAAGATTTGCCTCCAATCCAGACCAGAAACGTTCCAAAACGTATAGAAAACGCTGAATATCCTCGATGCCCGAGAATCGGCGGCGAAGTTCAGCAGGGGAGGAGTGGGGGCTGTTGGATGCCTCCGGGGGACCTTCGATCCTGACCACCTGAGGTCCCTGGAGGCCCCCAGAGGCCTCCAGAGGCCCGAGGGTCCCGAAGAGGGTCCAAAAAGTGTCCAAGAGTACTCCAGATTTCGTAATAAAGGGAGGGGGGTCTCATGTCGGGGGGGGTCTCTTCCAGGCTATCTTGGAGGGCCTGGGGGGGTCTGGGGACGATGTTTTGGAGGGTTCTCCCACGGGGGAGGTCTGAAATGGCTTGTCTTGGAGGGTCCAGACCCCCTCCCTTTTATTACGAAATCTGGAGTAGTTGGAAACCGTGCCGACCTCTCTCTCCCTTCGAGCCTCCCGAGGGTCGAGGGAGGGGCGAGCTCAGCACTAGGGCAGATGTCGGGATGCAGGAAAGGCAGTCAGCCCGAAGTCCATCGAATCAGAAGCAACTGCATTTCAGGTTAGAGTTCTGGCGCTCCGCGCGGATTTCTTCGATCCGCGCTGGGGACCCTGGCGGCGCCGCACCTGGCGCGCTCCGCGCGCCAGGTAGGGTGGGTCCAGCGCAGCTCCAAGAAATCCGCGCGGAGCGCCGCAAGTTTGTGTTTATGCCGCTTTGTTATGATTATTCTTACTATGTTTCTTCTTCTTCTTCTTCTTCTTCTTCTATCCCCACGGCCGCCAGACGTCGGAATGCAGGAAGGGCAGTCCGCCCGAAGTCCAGGGTCGTGGCACCCGCCCCGCAGGAGGTCTTCGCCGGGCTCCGGGGGCTGGCCTGGTTCGTCAGCCAGGGCAGCCACGACACGTACTTCAGCGTGGTCTTCTCCAACCCGCTCACCGGCGTGGCCTGCCGCCCCGCCCTCTTGCGAAGACCCAGCATGTTTCCAGCGAGTCGCAGCGCGGGCTCGCTGCATGCTGCCTTGACCCCGGCACTCTCTTCAGTCTGCTCGGGGGTCAGTCCGCAGATTGGAGTCGGGGTACGTGCATTACCTCCGGGGGTGGACAGAACCCCCACCCTGACACGTCGATTAGTGGGTTGTCCGCTTTCGGTTCTCGAGAGGGCGCCGTGGCCGTCATTCTCCAGGCTTGCGCCCGCCAGGTTTGGGCCCGAGGTCGCTTTCCCTGAGCCACGCTTTGTCAAAGGGGGTCCTGTCCATCCCCAATGCCTGAGCCCCGATCCAAGTCCAATTTCCAGCCGGCTGCGCGCGCATGACTCGGCCAGCCCGGGCGAGAGCTGGATGCACACGACGCGGCCGGGTGCCTGTCCAGTGCTCGGCTCTCCCATGGCCCGGCAGCCGCGCCTCCGCACGCGTGCCTCCGGCCTCGGCTTCCGCGCGCGCCGCGCCGGAGCTCAGCCAGGCGTGCCGCCATTGCCTGGCGCACGGGGCGTCATCCCAGAGAGGTCTTGGCCGGGCGGGGCTTGGATTAGGATTTTGGACGAAAAGTTAATAATAGTCAAAGATATTCAGAAATTGACAAAAATTGCAGTCAAGAAAAAAACGATTAAGGGAACCCCACACACACAAAAAAAAAAAACAAAAAAAAAACACGTACACATACTAGTTTTAACTATTTTTGGATACTCCCCCTGTCAAGGGACAGGTTCGACTAAAGACTAGGACGAGGAGGAGACCGTCCCAGAGCGTCCCGGAACGCTCTCGGAGCGTTCGGGAACGCTCTGAGAGGGCCGCGGCGCCCGAGACGTCCTCCAGAGCCGCGGGATCCCAGAGACTCTCGGTTGGTCCGTGCGGCAGGTTCGCGCCATGCCGACTCGCCGCGACCCCGCCGCAGGCGTTCCGGGTCGCACGGCGCCAGTGGCCAAGACGCGGCCCAGCAGGGAGCGATCCGGTGAGCGGGGAGCCGCCGCTCGTTCTCCGGGCGGAGCGAGCCGTCGCGCGGTGAGCGGAGAGCCGCCGCCGGGGTCGACACGGCGGGCACTTGCCGTGCCCCGTTGTCAGCTTCGTCCTGGGTCTTCGTCCTGGGCCTTCGCCCCTCCAGGGAGCGAGGGAGCGAGAGGCCGGCTGCTCCCTCCTCGCCGCGCCGGAGGGAAGAGAGCACACGGATGTAGTGAATCGTGGATCCCCCAGAAGAGATGGGAAGATCTGGGACGTGGGGGGGGAAGACAAAAAGGCCCAACAGCCATGGGAAAAGTGTGGGGAGTCCTGCGGTTTGTGCATATTTACTTGTGTGCGTCCCAGGGCCCCTTCGGCCGCGGGGGCCGAGCGGGGGCGCTGGCGCCGGCGGGGTCCCCAGCGGCAGTGCGGCGGATGGCTGGCGGGAGGGGGAGGCGCGCGGCGAAGAGGTGGAAGTCATTGTTTGTGGGCCGCGCGCAGAGGTTCTTTGAAGGATATGTTCGGGAGGAGGGGGAGGAGGAGGAGGAGGAGGGGAGGAGGGGGAGGAGGGAGGAGGAGGAGGAGAGGAGGAGAGGAGGAGAGAGGGGAGAGAGGAGGAGGGGAGGAGGAGGAGGAGGAGGAGGAGGAGGAGGAGGAGGAGGAGGAGAGGAGGAGGAGGAGGAGAGGAGGAGGAGGAGGAGGAGGAGGAGGAGGACCTGTCCCAGGTCCACCCGTGTACCGCGCCCCAGGGTCCAGACCGCGAGGGCGTCGATGTGGATATGCTCGCCGCTCGTGAGTCGGGCCGGACGAAAGGGGGGGATTGGGAAAGGGGGGGGACGAAATTTGCTGCATGCAGCTGGTTTCGGCCCCACCGAGGGGCCCATTCCTCGATACATAGCCGCCTCCGGCGCCGGGAGGCGCCGGGAAAATCAACTACGTGAGCTGATTCTCAAACCCCCCCTTTGCTATCCCCCCCTTTCGCCCGACCCGAGTGAGGGGGACGGGGTCGGGTTTCTGACCCTGCGGTAATTCGTGTCGAGTCGACGCGGCAACCCCAGCGCAGGCCTTCAAGGCGGAACGCCGCCGGTTGCTGGGAGCCGGCCTGTAGCGCAAGATCTTGCGCGATCGGCGAGAGAATTGGGCATGGCAGCTTTTTTCGCAGCGGGCGTTCCCGCCCAGTTTCGGGCCCCGGGGCCATCACCGATCGACCAGGCTTGATGGCGCGGAAGGATGGTGTCCAGCCTGGACCACATGTCCAGGGTTCTGGAGCGATGTCTCGCGATGGTGCAATCTTTGCAACGTCGGACCTCAGGGGGTTGCGCAGCGGGCCACGCAGCGAGGAAGTGTCGGGAGGCCCGCGCGGAGTTCTCGGGTGACCACGCCGGGTCCTCCGGCATGCGGTATAGTCCAGTGGCCGTGTCGGCGCGGCGGCAACCGCCACGTTTTTGCGTTGAGAATTGAGCGCCGCCAGTGGCCTGGAGCCGACCGGCCTAAACGAGCTGGGAAAGCCGCGAGCGCTTCAAGGGTGAATGCTCCGCGCACTTAGGGGAACGGAGAATGACATAAACATAAAAAGTCGGAGGTCCGCGCGGATTTCTTTCAGATCGGCGCTGGACCCCCTTGGCGGCGCCTTCGGCGCCACCCCTGGCGCGCGGAGCGCGCCAGGGAGGGGTCCAGCGCCGATCCGAGAAATCCGCGCGGGCCCCCTGGCGTTTTTATGTCCATGCAATCATTATTTCACCTAGCAGTGTCGAAGACCAACGCGCAAGTGGCCACGACACGAGCCTGCCGCATTCTGTCTTTACGCCAGGCATCGCGCTCCGAGGTTTCCGTGCCTGCATCTGCTGCCTCCCCACTCGAATCGTCCACGACGGTTCCGAGCGGCGCTCTCTTCGCCTGGACGTCTGCTCCGATTTTGCTCCCCCCCCACTCCCTGGCTGTTGCGCACGGGGGTGGTGGGGCGAGGAGGGATCGGTCTGGTGGCCTCTTGGAGCATGGTGGAAGCCAATTGAAGCCATTTGTGAGGTCATCGTGGGCTTCCTGAGGCCCTCTTGGAGCCATCTTTGGGCATTCAAAACCTTTTGAAATCTCGCGAACCCCCCATCCAGGTCCAGGTGAGAGGGTAGGGGGAGGAGTCAAGCTACTCAAATCCGCGAGCCGTGTCGCTCTCTTCCACCCTCCCTGCCAGCACATAGGCAGCATCCGAGCCTGGGGCCCCGATCCGACTGAGTTCGGGAGCCCCATCGGAAACACACAGCAGACAATATGAGGGCTTCCCCGCCGTCATTTTCAAAAACCAATGCAAAGTGATCGCGGCGCGCCCGCGCATGATCCAGATTTTGCCGCAAAGTGCACTATGTATGGTTTTTGTTGAGGATCGCCAGCCTGCACAGAGCAATCAATCTGAGGCCCCCCCCGCCGCACCTTCTGTCAGAAACCAATGCAAAATGATATCGCGGGGCGCTGTCGCATGAAGTTGTTTTTGCCACAACGTGTGTTTTGCATTGCGTGTTGACAGAGGGATGGTGGGTCTGCGCAGGGCGGATATGTTGAGGGCATCGCCGCCGTCCGTGGCAAAAACAATGCGAAGTGATCGTGGGGCGCCCGCACACGGCTGAGATTGTGCCGCATAGTGCATGTCGCATTGTGCTTTGACAGGGTTGGTGGGCCTGCGCAGAGCGGACAAGAATCCAGTGAGCGGCTGGAAGAAGAACCACCTATCTTTCAAAAGGGGTTCGGTCGTTCCTTAGGGTTGCATACGTTATGTATCGTTCCGTATGCGTCATGTATTACTTATCGTTCCTGCTGCGTTACTCCTTGGAGAAAATGGGTTTCGTCCCTTACCTACCGTTCCTCAGATCAGGCCGGGGCCCCCCTGCCGTCCCTGTCCAAGACCGATCCAAAACATGCCCACGGGGCGCCCTCGCTCGGTCCAGATTTTCTGCCGACGCAGGTTGCGCACTGCTCTTGACGGGGATGGCGGGGGGGGGGCCGCGTGGTCCCCGGGTTCGTCGCCGGTCGGGCGGGGGGAGGGGATGTGCACGGTGGGGGGCGTCGATGATCAGGCGATCGCAAACATGGATCAGGGGGGCGTGGATTAGCGACGGGTCCCGTTGCCAGGGGGAATCGCGGATTTCCGCCGCCGAGCGAGGCAGCAACGGCCGCATTTTGGGGAGGGCGCCTCCTCCCGATCCATGGACTTGGCGGCCGTGCGCCAAGTCCATGGATCGCTACTCCATGTTTGCGCGCCCCCGAGATGATGGAATGTGCCCAGACGGCTTCAGAACCTTTGCCGCTGATGCTGCTTCTGCTCCCCGGGGCGGCTCGACGGAAAACGAGGTCGCGGACGTCTGGGCCCCTCCTCCCTACTCCAGATTTCGTAATAAAGGGAGGGGGGTCTCATTTCGGGGGGGGTCTCTTCCAGACTATCTTGGAGGGCCTGGGGGGGTCTGGGGACGGTGTTTTGGAGGGTTCTCCCACGGGGGGGGGTCTAAAATTTCTCGTCTGGGAGGGTTGAGACCCCCTCCCTTTTATTACGAAATCTGAAGTATCCTTCCTCGTTCCTCTCTCCTCGGCTCCCCTCAGGGGCAGCGAAAGGGGGCAGATGCTTTTAAGGTGGGACGCGTCGGCGCCCCGTCGCCCATGCACCGCCGACCGGGGCCCGATAGCACCCCGCCTAGGAGTGCGCGGGGTCGCGACTGAGGGCACATCGCCGATCCATTGGCGACGCATCGCCGAGTCCAGCTCGATGTGCCCCTCCTTGAGCCAGTCCCCCCTAGCATCGCATTCCGCCGCCCTCCTGAGCAGCCAGGATTTGAAAGAAGGCGCCGTTGGGGTTCGGAGGAGGCTCGCTGTTCCTTAGGTCCCTCCATAGTAGTCCTGATGCATCCGGGGCCCACAAGAGTGTTTCGTTTCCTAGTTGGCGTTCCTTCGGGTAGCAGTTTGACGCATAGCATGTCTCTGCCGTTGGATAGATAGCATCGCCTGGCACTGCGGATCATTGTCCTCCCCCCGCGCCATGCGTCCAGGCTATTCCCATCCCCAACCCTCCTCCCTCCTCCTGCCCTGCCTCTCTCACCAAGCCCCGCGCCCAGCCTCGATCCCCCCCGATGCTCGGATGTCCCCAGAGGCTTCTGGAGGCCAGAAATGGGCAAATAAAAACAGAAGCCCTCCTCGGCCCCCCTTTGCCCTCACCCCCCTCTCCCCCTCCTTCGTTTCTCCCTCCTCCTCCATCTCCTCCCCCTCCTCCATCCCCCCTCGGCCCCCGCCTCGTCGCCCCCCTTCCCCCTCCTCCCCCTTCCCCTTTCTCCTCCCTTTCCTTCTCGCGCCTCGTGCGCAAGGCCGCCTTCGGCGCCTGGGCCGGCCCCCCCCCGGCGGAGCTGATGCAGGAGCTGTACGTGTGCCCTCCCGTGACGGAGGGCGTCCAGGCGCCCGCCTGCCGGCCCTGTGGGCGTTGGCACCTTCGGAAGGAGTTCGCGTCGGCGCGGCACGTCCTCCCCTCCCCCACACCCTGCCCAGCCCCATGCCCGTCCTCCCCGGTTTCCTCTTCTCCTCTTTTCCTTGCAGCCACGCAGGTTCAGCTCCTGCGCCCGCCGTGGCCATGCCGCGCACCCCGCGGCGCTGTTTCCCTCGGCCGAGGTGCGGGAGCGAGCCCGCCCAGCTGCCATGTGGGCACCCGGATGATGTAGCTACTCTCTGGCTCGGGAGCCCTGAGACGGGGGTCAATGCAGACGGGGTTCAGCCAGGGCGCCAGATCCTGCAGGATCCTGCGAAGACCCCCTCTGGCTGACCCGGGTTAGGGAGCCGCTCGTGGCCGCGAGGCGGCCGCACATATTGACTGACCTGGGTTTGCGAAGATCTGCGTTGCAGTGTTTTTTTTCCTGCATTGCAGTTTTTGGTTTCCTGCTGACCCGGGTCTGGATTGACCCGGGTCAGAAGATCCCCGACTGGCAGTCGCGCTGATGCATGGCTGTGGTGCTGAATCCTCTTCCATGCAGCAGGGAGCACAGGTTCTTGGATATAGCAGCAAAAAGAATTCAATAACGTGGACGCGATAGTATCAATCGGTTCCCACCGAGCAGCGCGGATAATTGGCGAGGTCCGCGCACAGGTCATTACAAGACTCGGGGCGGTTCATCTTGGGTGCACCAGCAATAACGCGTTGTCAAAAGGTCATGCGGGATCACTGGCTTGCTGCACAAGGGCGCCATCAGAACAGAAGATCGTGTGGACATGGAGCGGCACGCCTGGACTCCGAGGACGGTTGGCAACACTCCGCCAGGAGGGACACACATTCGACATCACCACAATCGCAGAGTACTGTTGCCTTGGGTTCCAAGGACCTTCGAGAACGAGGTCGCATGGATAACGCGACCGACAAGATCACGAGCCGGAGTGACCAGGTGTTCGGCGTCACCCCCCCGAGGTCGATGCCCACCACCGCCATGGACGCCAACGATGGGGTACGATGTACAACGCGACGAAGGCCAACCCCATCCCATCGAACCGATGGCCACCGGGAGCGATGGCAAAGCGGACGAGCATTACACAGACAGTGTTGCACGACGTGTGTGCGAAAACCATACGATGGTGTTCGATCGCGCACACCATCTACCCAGTCGGCCCCACCTACCACGGTAGCAAGAAGCAGGTTAGCTGGATCGGCCACGCGTGCATACAAAACGATTGTGTGGACAGGGTATCCAGGATCAGGCAGGCGTGCGGATCAGAGAAATCTGTAGGCGATCCCAGACAAGAGTGGGCGAGACCACATCGCCTTCTATTGCGGTCAGAGTGAAGCTGGACCACCGCGAGGACGACGACCACTGGTGAGACTACTTCGACTTGGCTCGCGCACGGAGCACCGAGAACACAGCCTTCCCGCACAGGCAGGAGGTCGAGCAACAATTCAAGCAGAGCATCGACGACGCGGGGTGCGCAGACGTTGGCACATGCTCGACTGAGAACTGGGACATGGAGACTGGGTGCGGAGCATTGGCGGATGCACGAAACGGATCGGGCAATACATACTTCGCGGCGACGGACACAGCGCTGCCGATCAGGCACCAGGAGCTCGTGACAGAGTACGCCGGCCTTCGACGACAGAAAGAAAACAACACTGTTTTTCGCGGACGGGACGGAGAGCGTACTACGACTGGCTAGAGCCACCAAGCGACGCAACATAATGGGGGGGGCGCGCGGAGAGCGAAAGCGACGATCCACGAGGAGAAGCATCGAGGGAGTAGACAATATGCGAGTGCCGCCAGCCAACGGTTTCGGGGCATAAAGAAGAAACTCCAACACTCTTCCCGAGCTCCCAGGTGTCATGCCGAGTGGATGGGGAATCTTACTCTGCTACCACTGAAAGAAGGTGCGTTCGTTCACGAGAAGGACTACGAGACGACGGCGGCGGAGGTGAGCGAGCGGCAGCCGACCACGTGCTGCCATCAACGACACCACAGAGACCGCCAGAAACTATCACCGCATCACACGACAACTGAGAAGCGCCAAGAGGAGAAGAGCTGCAGCACCAAAGCAGGCCAGGGGGGCACCCTCCGTCGCCCGCGGGTGGACTCACGAGATATATCATCAAAGCATTGACATGCACAGGACAAAGACGGCCCGTCACAGACTGGACCCGGCCACGCACGCACCGCGCCTGAAAGTACAACGGCCGAGCGGAGAAAAAAAAAAAAAAAAAAAAAAAACAGCGATGCGAATATTGCGCGGACTGCGCGCCCACGGAAAGGCGCGCGCCGAGACCGCGATCAGGATATGGGCGCAGAGGGGCGCGCCTCGTCGCGGTCGCGGGCGCCTGCCAAAGATCCACCGCGCGGGCGGCAGCCGAGCTGAAGTGGGGGCTCAAGAAAGCGAAGACAGTAAGCATCGTCACGCCATTGCCGCAGTGGCCCACGAGGCCCTGGACAATGCGACGGAAAGGATATACTGGCGCGGCGCGCGCGGCACCCCGCGGGGGGGGCGCCGCGACCTCGGCTTCCCGGAGGGCGCCCCCGACAAGGCCGCAGGCTTCAAGAACGAGGTCGGGCGCTACGCGGGAGACGCGAGCGCGGCAAACCCCCCGACGCGTGGCCCGCCAGACGCCCGTCGCCGGTTGGGCCGGCGCGATCGACGAAGTCGGGCCCATCGAGCTATGCGCGAGGGGTCCTGTCTCCACGGAGCTGGCCGACCTCTCGCTGCGGGCGCGCGCCGACGACGCGAACGAGGCGCGCGACGTGGCCCGCCCCCGCAGCGCGGCAGATCGCGGCACGAAGTCCGATCTCAGGCTCGCCAGAGATTCGATTAAGCTCGGCAACGCACAGGGCGGCGCCAACAATGGGGCCGCTCCGAGGTTCGCGAGACCAGCGAGCAGCAGGTGCGCCCCCGCGGCGTTCCACAGGCGGATGCGCATCGACGGCCACGGCGCCGCCGCGCACTCGCCCCCCCCTTCCTCGGGGCGGTCTTCCGCGAAAGTGGAGCGCGGCGGAGCGAGGTCTCTCCCAGGTGCCAAGCGGCGCGGAGAGGACGGGTCTGCATGGAGATGTTCTGGCGCGCCCACAAATCAGGGGCCCTCGAGCGCAGGGCCTTCCGCGGCATCGCCGCCGGGGCAGCGCGTTCGGGCCCCCCGCCCGCGCCCTGGCCAGCGCGCAGATGGGCCGCCGAGACGTCGAGCGCATAGAGCACGGGGGTTCTCGACATGGAGGGGGCGGCGAAACGAATGGGCGGAGCGGGCTGGGCGAAGACCGGGGCCCCATCCGTGAGTCTGATATGGCGCCCACTACGACCCCCGCCGGTTCGGCTGGGGCCCAGAGACCCTGCGCCCGCGCGAGCGGCGGCCAGTTGCACGAAGCCCTGACAGACGCACGCAGCGGCTGGAAGCAGCGATCGGGGCGATGATCTGCGAGGAGCCCAACGCGCAGATGTTCAAACCGATGGGCGCAGATGCGGGCGAACAGCCCTCGGCGGCGACGACCGACCCGCGGGCCAAGCAGTTCCTCGAGGACTGAGCGCGCATCAGGACCATCGGGCCAGGCCACGACCTTAAGTGCCACGCTGGGGTAGCACGAGGGCTACATGCGCGCGCCGGGAGCGCTTCGCCCCAGCGACACCACGACGGGACAGTTCATCACGATCAACCCGCCCGCGCAGAGGGCGGAGCAGCCACAAGGGGCGCCAGCGCCGACTATGTTCGAGTGTGATTCTGATAAGGTCGCCGAAGGCGACCGCGCGTGCTGCCTCGACTGCGAGAGCCGCCTCGCCTGCGGCCGCCGCTTTGACGCAAAACCAGGGGCGCTTCGAGCGCGCCAATTGCACGCCTCGGGGGCCAGCGCGGGGCCAAGAGGGGCCCTGCCCACACTGCCTGCAGAGAACCAAGGCACGCCGCGCAGGCCCCTTACAAATAGAGGCCCCGCCCTCGGACACGGCGGAAGCGCATCATTGCGGCAGGGGCAGCGTAGACCGCCCGCCCTCACATTGCGACGCCACCCCCCCAACCGCCAGCCCCCACGCTGTTCGCAGGCTGTGATTCAGGGGGGCGTTCCGAGGATCACCTGGCCAGCGACCTCACAAAACCGCCCCCTGCCTTCTCGCTTCGGCGCCCCAAGTTGCACGCGCCTCGATGGGGGCGGCAAATTGCGACGCGAAGAGAAGCCAAGCGGACGGGCGAGCGGGGGAATGCGCCGAGAACGCGAAGGAAGACGCGGCAGAGCAGAGCACGCAGCTAACGACAGGAAGACGTCGGACGTCGGCGGGGCGTCGATCGAGGAGGTCCAGCTGCTCGCCCCAGTCATGGCGAAGATGTCGCTGAACCACGAGATGCGCCAACGCCAGACCGACCACGCGTCGCCGGCGACGGGTCTCGCGCCAGCGGTTCCCCCGCCCATCATCGAGGCGAAGAACAGAACTCGCGCGCGGGCCGCCCAACGCGCAGACGCAACGAGCCGAGGGCGGGCCAGACGAGAAGCTGCTCTAGCAGGTATCATCGAGGGGCCGGAGAGCGACGGGGGGCGGAGCAGGCCGCGCGACCAAGGTCAAACTGAGCAATATGGAGGCGGAGATGCAGGGCCTCGCCCTGGAAGCACGCGAGACCAGGTTCCCCGGCGCGCAAGCGGCGCCCGCCTGCGAGGACGCGCGCGCGCGACAGCGATCATGGGGAAGTCGGCGGGCTCGGAGCCGATTGCAAAGCGCTTGGGGCGGCGGGGAGGCAATGTCAAGTCAGGCTTGACACCCGCGTCGCGCGTGGAGCAACTGCTGCACGCCAAGCTCGCGGCCTTCGAGGAGACCAACGACAACCCTTGTCGCCAGCTTCGGCGTCGTCGGTCTTCGGGCTGCCTGCGACGATAAGTGCCGGCCGCAGGTTGCCCGCGCCGGCGTGGCCCAGCCGCCTTGCCAGGGCCACGTTGCCAGTTGCGGCGTCGACGGCCATAGTGCGGCCTGCGATGTCAAGTGCTGATGGGCCGTCCACGAGACTGGTGGGGACGCGAGCGATTTGGGTGCTCTGCACCGCCGATAGACTACGGTGCGACGCGTGATGAGAGCCGCCGCTGGCCCGGACGTTTTGTCGGAAGACTCCCAGAGAGTCTCGCGTGAGTGTGGCGAATGCCCTCGGCCGCTAGCTCACCCCCATCCCAGCCCCTTACAGTAGGATTCGTTTCCGTGTTGACCTCCGTAATTACACGATTGCCATTAAAAGTGCGCGTTGTGGGATGCCCAAATCCCAATCTACTTCATGGGCGCCTTCCCACTTCACGAATCGAGCGGGCGCCCCGCCCCCCTTTTTTACAGGGGGCGGGCGGAAGCCCAATCTACTTCCAACGCCTTCCCACTTCATGTGTCTACCCTTAAGTCGGGCCTGTCCCCCTACAGGGGGATTTCGACAAAAAATAAAAAATGCCCCCAACACGTTCCAAAGATAGTCCAAACATAGTCTGGGTGACTATGTTTGAGCATGTTTTGGCCTTTTTGGGGCACTGGGGTATGTTTTTTCTTTCGTCGGAAATCCCCCTGCATGGGGGACAGGCCCGACAGAATTCGACCCACTTCTTCCACCCGGCGGGTGCCCTCCCCCATTCGTCCCCGCCCGCTCACTGCCAGGGCCTCCGCGGGTCGCCCCCCTCTCGCCCCCGCTCTCTGCGCAAGCCCTCCGCGCCGAGTCGCCCAGGCCCCCCCCCCACCTCCGCAGCCCCGCCCTCCCAAGCGTCACAGACGAGCCTCGAGCACAGGGGTTCCTGCAGTAAGTCGGGCACGTCCTTCTATAGGAGGAATGTTCAAAAATACCATAAAAATAGTCCGGGGACGATTTTTGTTTTATTAGTTTTGGTAATGTTTGGACATCGTTGACATTATTTACATTTTTCGTCGAAAATCCGCCTGTAGGGGGACGCACCTAATTCTGGCACAACTCCGACCACCCAGATGGGAGTCCGCCGGCGCTCGATCGCTCGCATCATCAATCATCATGCGTTTTTTTTTGCAGTAGACAGGGCCCCTGAAACTCTAGGTTTGGGGGGGCGGGCTTGTCCCGGAGCCTTCGACTGTAAAAGACGGTCCTGGTGAATTAAACTAGACAGCAAATCCAGACACGCATCACAGTGTTCGTGCGTTCCGCCTCCTCGCCTTCCACTGAGCCCCTCCTCCTCATCTGCCCTTCGTCCTCCTCCTGCGCGAGCCAGGAGTGAAAAGAAGGGGGGGGTAGATAGAAAGGGAATGACAAGGAGGGGGAGGGGTGTTGGATGAGGGAGTCCTCAGATCCTGGCAGCGTTCTTGTCACGCCGGCTATTCTCGCCCCGATACCAGGCCCAAGGACTTTCATGGATCGATCCCTCTCGAGGAATGCCGCCAGCGCTTGGGGTCGAGTCAAGGGCCCGGCTCGTGCTTCCGCGCGCCGTGCCAGATATGGGGTGTTTTTTTTTGCTGCAGTCCCAGGGAGCAGCGCGGACGACGGCGACGGAAAGAAATGCGAGTGCGAGTGCGAGTGCGAGTGTCGGGCCGGGCGAAAGGGGGGGATTGGGAAAGGGGGGGTTACGAAATCTGCTGCATGCAGCTGGTTTCGGCCTCACCGAGGGGCCCATTCCTCGATACATGGGCGCCTCCGGCGCCGGGAGGCGCCGGGAAAATCAGCTACGTGAGCTGATTATGATTCTCAACCCCCCTTTGCTATCCCCCCCCTTTCGCCCGACCCGAGAGTGCGAGTGCGAGTGCGGGTGCGGGTGCGGGTGGGGTGCGGAGGAGGGGGAGGAGGAGGAGGAGAGGAGGAGGAGGAGGAGGAGGAGGAGGAGGAGGAGGAGGAGGAGGAGGAGGAGGGGGAGGAGGGGGAGGAAGGAGGAGGAGGAGGAGAGGAGGAGGAGGAGGAGGAGGAGGAGGAGGAGCGGGGTGCGGGTGCGGGTGCGGGTGCGGGTGCGGGTGCGGGTGCGGGTGCGGCGGCGACGGCGGCCCCAGCCTGCGGCGCAGGTGCCCCCCGGCAGGGGCACGGCGTGGAACATCCTCGAGAGAGGCGCCTCGCCCACGACGGCGTCGCGTCGTTTGTCGTCGGTCGCCGTCGTTCGTCGTCTGTCGTCGTCGCGCGTCGCTCGAGTAGGGAATCTACGACCGAATTCGATCGGCATCGCTTGTCGGTCGAGTTAGGGAGTATTCTGGGGACGGTTTTGGGATTATGTTGGGGACGAGTTCTACTACTTGTGACTATTTGGGTGTATTTTTGGAGTTTTCCTAGTTTTCATCCAGATTCCGCGTGTTGGAGGACGTGCCCTGCCTAATACTACACGAGTCCAAGCCAAATTTCACCAGCCTGGAAAGGCTGTGCAGGATGGTAAAAGCGCGCGCGGGCGCGCGCTTGCCGAAATGTCAGTTGCCCTCCACCAGGTTTGGGATGCCATATGCTCGGCGTTTTGGGGGGAGCGCGCCGGCTTCGGCAACCATTTGGGGCACAGGCAGGGTCCACTGCGATGCGATCGGGCCGATTCGATGTCGGTTTGGGCTGGCCGATGCTGTTCGATTCCGATGTTCCGGCGATCCGGTGCGGCCCGAAGCGTTCGGGGACGGCCAAGAGGGGGGTGATGACTGGGGGAGGGGGGATATCATGGCGGGGGCCGTGAGATCTCCGCAGATCTCACGGCGCCTCCCCCTATTTCAGTACGCCCCCCTGGCCCTCCGCTGGGCCGCGCACATGCCGCGGACCATGATTTGCGCCCCCCGCTCTTGGACGCCCCCCTCTTGGCCGCCCTCTTGGGCCTCTCCAGAAGGCTGCGGCGCCCGAGACACCCTGCATAGCCGCTGGATCTCAGAGGTGCTCGACTCATCTCTGCCAGATGTTATCCTCGTCCTGGCCTCGTCTCGCCGATGAGTGCACGGAGTTGCTGTGCACTTCCGCGCGGCCGACCCGGTGCCAGCTGTCTGTGCCGATCTGCGGCGCGGTCCGAGGCGCGCTTCGACGCGGGCCCGCTGCCCGATGCGATGCCCACTGCTCCTCCTGCTCGGGAGGGACCGGCCACGCGCAGTCAGGAGCGAAAGAAGGACGTGCACGTACTCCAGATTTCGTAATAAAGGGAGGGGGGTCTCATTTCGGGGGGGGGTCTCTTCCAGGCTATCTTGGGGGGCCTGGGGGGGTCTGGAGACGATGTTTTGGAGGGCTCTCCCAGGGGGGGGGGTCTAAAACTTCTCGTCTGGGAGGGTTGAGACCCCCTCCCTTTTATTACGAGATCTGGAGTACATGAATCCACTCTGGTTTCGAGAGTTCGCATTGCGCGAATGTTCGTATCACGCGGCCGGTCTCGCGGGTCAAGGGGCCGTATGCATGTACATAGTTGGGCGCGTACGTCTTCTATGGGCTCCCTACAGAGGGGGGGCAGGGGGAGGGGGGAAGCCTTCTTGGAAGCACCCCTGCTTCTCAGAAGGCGCGGGCCTCCGCTGCAGACGTAAGGCCAGGGCCTTCTAAGAAGCAGGGTGCTTCTAAGAAGTCTTCCCCCCTCCCCCTACCCCCCTCTGCGCCGCGCGCCGCCAGAGGGGCCCGAAAGCTTCGCCGCGCTCCTCGCGCGTCGCCTGCCCATCGACGAAGAACAATCGGCATACACGTAAACTTTTTGGCGGTCCGCGCGGAGTTTTTGGATCTGCGCTGAGGCGCCTCAGGCGCCGCCCCTGGCGCGCTCCGCGCGCTAGGGAGGGGGGTCCAGCTCCTGAGATCCAAGAAATCCGCGTGGACCGTCAAAAGTTTATGTCTATGCGTTTTTGTTGTTACTCTAGGCACGAAAGTCTCGCTGTGCTCCTCGCGCGTCGCCTTCCCAGGCGCACGCTCGGTGCAGTGTGCTGTCAGAGTATCGGGCCAACGGTTCGTCTCCCTCTGGGGGCTCCCGCGTTGCGCCACGGCTGACGGCTGGCAGCGCGAGTGCACAAGAATGGTGAAGGCATTCCTCCTCATCCTCCTCTTCTTGTTCTTCCTCCTGCTCCTCCTGCTCCTCTCGCTTGCACACGGTGGAGCTCTCTGGGGCCCTAAGAGCATCGGGGTTTTGACGCCTCTGGAGGACGTTGGAAACATCCTGAGACCGATGAAGACTTTCCCCTCGAAGCCTCGGATCTGGAGACCTCTTCATCTGTCTTCTCCTCGTAAAGCATTATCCTCCCTCCTCCTCCTCCCCCCTCTTTCAGGCTTTCAAGTGTTCTCGGGGGTTCTGTCAGGAAGAGAAAGAAAAATGAGCAGAGGAGTGGGAAAGAGCATAGAAAGAGGTGTGCATGTACAAATTAGCGTTTCGAAAAACCCGACCATATGCAACTGCGAGTACCGCATTTGCGAGTATCGTTTTCGGTGGAGCTCCTTATGGGGACACGAACCGTGTGAGGGGTGTGCCAAAGTGGAATGACGGCGACACGCGGGCGCTGTCACCGGGGCCTTCGGCGGAGCTTCCTATAGGGCCTTCGGCGTTGCCCCATCTGTCCGTGATTTGTTTGATGGGGGGTGGCGAGATAAGCTAGACCGTCCAAGATTGTCCTTCCCTTCTCTGTCCCCCTCTGCCCGCGCACTCCAAAGCCCAAAGCAGCGGGAGCAGCGCAGCGCGGGGTCCCCGCGATGCGCGCCAGTCGGCCCGAAAGGGTCCCAGTCACGCGCGCGGGTCGTCGGCTGCGCGGAGCAAGGGGAGCTAGCTCGCTGGCCGATTGCGGGCAAGACTCTGGCTGCTGGGCAGAGCGACAACAAGCGAGCGAAGCATTGGGCAGAGCGCAGCATCAACCTCCCGCGACGCGCGTTGGTTGCTCCGAGAGGGCCCCATCGACGCGCGCGGGTCGTCCGCGGCGCGGAGTCAAACAGTCAGACGGTCGAGAGGAGGCTCGGGCGGGCCGCTCCCCTGATCAGGCCTCGCGGATTCGCTCGGTGAAGCCCAGCTCCTTGGCGAGGGCCGTCGCCCCCCTCCGGCACCGCTTCGCGCGCGCCGCAGACTGCTCCAACTGCTTCCGCAAGCCCTCTGGCGGCCATGCCTGGAAGAACTCGATCCGCGGCGCCCGCGTGAGCAAGAGGTCCTCGTGGCGCGCGGCGCGCGAGAGCAGCGCGTAGAGCTCCAGCCACCAATCGTCGCCCTCCTCCTTGCCGTTCCCGACCTCGTGGCGGCCGCAGTCCAGGATCACGCTTAGGCGACGTCGGCCGAGGGAGCGGCGCGCCGGACAGCCGACGGCCCAGGGCGACAGTCTACAGGACCGACAAAAGATCTGGCTGCGGACAGCTCGCGCCCTGGGTATGGGGCCACGAATCGCGCGAAGAAAAGGTGCGCTCCCTACGGGGCCACGAAAACGCTGTAGTGGGCGCAGGGACCGCATGCGAGTTCCGCCGCTGGGATCTCCGGTGGAGCTCTTGATGGCGTCACGAAGCGCCGCACTGGGTGCAGGAAGCGCGTGCGAGTTCCGCCACAGGGACCTTCGGTGGAACTCCATACGGGGCCACGAAACGCTGCGCTGGGCGCAAGCACCGAACGCGAGTTCCGCCACCGGGACTTTCGGCGGAGTCCCCTTGTGGGGCCACGAAACACCGCACTGGGCGCAGGCACCGCGCGCGAGCTCCGCCACAGGGACCTTCGGTGGAGCTCCCTATGGGGCCACGAAGCGCTGCACTAGGGGGGAACCCAGGGAAGAGGGACGAGGGGGAGGAGGAAGGAAGGAAGGAAGGAAGAGGAAGAGGAAAGGAGAATGCAGGGCGCTGTCTCTTCAAAACGAGGACCCAACACCACAGGATGATTGGGAATAACCGTTCGATTCCCGGGAGCGGGAGTTGGAGCAAGGCGGGAGCGGGAAGGCAATTGGGTGAGAGATGGCGGGGAATGGGGGGGGAGTCTGGGGGTCGGGGGGGAAGAGGCGGATTACGATGCGAATGCAGGGGTGGAGGCGAAGGGGGCGGAGAGAGAAGCTCCCCCACCGCCACCTGCCCTCCATGCCCCTGTCTGTATCCCGCCCTCGCTTCCTCCTCCCCGACCCTGCCCGGCCTGCTCTCTCCCCTGTCCTCCTCCCTTGCCCTCCCTTCAGGCGCCCCATTCTCCCGATCCCCCTTATTCCCATCGCCCTCCCCCCCCCTCCCACAACTTCCTCTCCTCCTCCTCCTCCTCTGTTCCTGCTACTCCTCCTCCTCTCCTCCTCCTCCCTCCCCTCCTCCTCTCCTCCCTCCTCCTCCTCCCCTCCTCTCCTCCTCCTCCTCCTCCTCCTCCTCCTCCTCCTCCTCCTCCTCCTCCTCCTCCTCCTCCTCCTCCTCCTCCCGTGCCCTCCCCTCCCTCGCCCTCACCCCTCACGCTGCCTTCGCCACTCCACAGACTTCAGATGCCGTTGTCCTCTTCTGCGGAAAGGCCCAAGTCAGGAGCGAAAGAAGGACGTACACGCACATGAATCCACGCTGTTTTCGAGATTTCGCATTCGGCGAATATTCGTATCACGCGGTTGGTCTCGCGGGTCAAGGGGCTGTGTTCATGTACATAGCTGGGCGCGTACGTCCTTTGTGGGCTCCCTACCAAGGGCTCTCGAGACCATCCGAAGGGCAGTTGTCGATCCCCGTCGTATTTCGACAGTCCTCGGAACTCTTTCGTGTCTGAGCGTGTTCCCTTCCCTCTCCCCCCGCGCGGCCGCTCTCGTCTTTCGACCCCCCCCCCTCTTGCACGCCAGCCAACTCGCCTTGCGGTGGCCCCGAAATCTCACGCGCTGGGTCGGACTGCCTCTTCCTCGCCGCCGACGAAAAAGTGTGGACAGTCCCGGGACTGGATGAGGTCGCCAAGTCCCCACACGACGGAAATGCCGGCGGTTTCGGTTGCTTCGTGGCACGTTCGGCCGTTGTCTCCCCCTCGGGGGCAACGATAGGGGGGGATAGGCATAGGGGGGGATGCATCGACCCCCAATCGCCCATTGATCGCCGATGGGGGCCCGATAGCCCCAGCCTGCCCAGGAAGGTGCGTACCCACTATCAGAGGCCTATCGCCGATCTGTCGGCGATGTGTCGCCGATTCCAGGTCGATGCATCCCCCCCTATGCCAGTCCCCCCTATCGTTGCCCCGCACCCCCTCCTCTCGGGCGTTGTCTCCCCCTCCTCTCCCTTTCTCAGGAGGGGAAAAGACACACAGACACAATGAATCGTCGATTCCCCCGAAAATATAGGAAAACATGGGAAGTGGGGGGGAAGACAAAAACCCAGAATATCAAAGGAAACTATGGGGAATCCTGTGATCTGTGTGCATTTCTGTGTGTGTCCCAGGGCCCCCTGCACCGTTCCCCGCCTCCTCCTCCCTCGTTGCTCGGCCAGGTCGGGGCACGTGGAGCCTCGGGCGCCTCCGTGCCGCCGCGCAGCGCCTCGCGCCTCCCCAGCTCGGCTGCGGTGTGATGCGCAGCACGTGCCGTGCTCAAGACGTCCGCGTCGATGCGCTGCGTGTCGGCTCAACATATTGGCCCACGTTTTGGCGAACGTATCGCGTCAGACCTACGTGTTCGGCCTACGTATCGCGTCAGACCTCCTACGTGTTGAGCTGCGTCATCACTACGCTGCGTGTTGCGTGTTGCGTATCGGGGCAGCTAAGCTCCCCAGGAACAGGATGATGAGCAACGAGCGAGGAGGAGGACGATGACGACGTCGGCGGCGGCCTGATCTGACCAGGCCTAATATGCCCGTGCAGCAGGTGTCGTCCTTGTCGGAGTGTCCGCAGGCGGAGGGGAAGCCCCGTCACTCCCTCCCTGGCACGCAGAGTGTTGCCGCCGAGTGGCGCGGCAGACAGGGGAGGGAGGGGGGCAGTGGCGATGGCCAAGACGGCGACTCCAGCGGAGGGTCGGCGGATTCTGCCTCGAGCGACCCCCGCCCGAGAACGCGAGGCGGGATACCCCTGGAGAGCGTTGGCACACGTGTGCAGTCGTCACTCGTGGAACGCACGAGGCACGAGGCGGGAAACCCAGAGAGCAGCGGGACGCTTGGGGCCTGGTGGCCGCGGTCGGGGACGCAGGGTTTCCGAGGCGGGTCGGGAGGTTATGCCTCTCAGTCTACCAGCCCCGACTGTCGCGTGGCGAGAACTGCCAGCATTGAACAAATCACGGCGTCGGAGGCCTGGGAGGCGGGAAGCAGCGGCGGCGGCGAGCCAGCGAAATTCGCGCGCAGAGGCGCAACGGTGCGCATCCGCGTGGTCATCCTGGAGGACCTGGCCCCGATCGACCTGCTGGCGTTCCCCCCACAGCGACCAGTGAAGCAGGCGGAGCAGGCAGCCCCCTCTGCTCCCTCTCCACTCCTGGGGAGGGTCAGTTTGCATGGGCGCGGGCCGAAAGATGTGAGGCGTTCCAAAAAAGGGCCTCGTCTTCTAGGATCGAAGAAGTTGTCAGCTCGTCCTCGGCGGAAGGCGGCGGAAGTGAAACGAGGCCGCCCCCGCCGGCGGAGGGCGGCGGAAGGTGGCGGGAGTGAAAAAACTGAGCCCCAAAGACATGGCAACACTTTTGGGGATCGGGGTAAAAAAGAAGACAACAAAAAAACAAAAAACAAAAAAAACAACAACAAACAAAAATGGGGATCGGGGTGTCTGGAATGTGTCGCGTGCCGGCTTGAAGCAGACAGGGAGCTGCCGCGGTCGGCGTCGGAGCGGGGGGCCACCAGCGGTCTTGGACCCATCCTTGGGTGCGCGCCTGAGGTGGGCGTCCGCGGTGGGGGCTCTCGCGGTGGCTTGCTGCGCGCTGTCTGCAGGAGGAAAGGAAACACACAGACACAATGAATCTTCGATTCCCTAGAAACTATGGGAAAATATTGGAAGTGGGGGGGAAGACAGAAACCCAGAAAATACATAGGAACATATGGGGAATCGTTTTATGTGTGTGTATGTATTTGTGTGTCCTGGGGCCCCTTCATGCCTGCCTGTTGCCGTCGTCCTCGCCCACGGCTCGCCCGTTCGACGCGACCGCAACCCACCCACACTGCGGCGTTCCAGAGAGGGCCTTGCCCTCGAGGGCCGAGAATCAGGAGGGGAAAAACACACAGACACAGTGAATTGTCGATTTCCCAGAAAATATAAGGAAATATGGGAAGTGGGGGGAAGACAAAACCCCAGAAAATATGTGAAAAGATGGGGAATCATTTTATTTGTGTGTATTTATTGGTGTCTCCCAGGGCCCCTTCAGAGGAGGTCGTCGTCCCCGTCCTCGGCGGAAGGGGGGCGGAGGCAAGACGGCCACGACGCGCCCGCGACCCGACCTCGAGTTGGGCGTGTCCCCCTGCAGGGGGACGATCTGAAGATTGTCACAAGATAGTATGGGGATTCTCTTCTGGGTACTCCAGATTTCGTAATAAAAGGAAGGGGGTCTGGACCCTCCCAGACAATCCATTTCAGACCTCCCCCGTGGGAGAACCCTCCAAAACATCGTCCCCAGACCCCCCCAGGCCCTCCAAGATAGCTTTGAAGAGACCCTCCCCGAAATGAGACCCCCCTCCCTTTGTTACGAAATCTGGAGTACTTTTTTAGGCTTTTTCGGGGGATTCTTTTCGGGGTATCGTTTGGCTACTTTTTGAGGCTTTTTGGGGGTATTCTGATCCGTCGTTCAGAGCCCCGAATCATCAGGGGTAACTCGGGTCAGGGTTAACTCGGGTTCGTTGTTCGGGAATCCGAACCCGAGTTATCCCGGACCCGAGTTACCCCGGACATTTCGGGCGTCCAGAGCCCCGAATCATCAGGGGTAACTCGGGTCAGGGCTAACTCGGGTTCGTTTTTGGGGAACTCAAACCCGAGTTACCCCGGACCCGAGCTACCCGGGATAACTCGGGCGTCCAATTCGTCCAACATTCGCCTGCAGGGGACAGCCCCCCTGCATAGACCCGACCGCGACCCGCCGACGCCGCGGCGTGCCAGGAGGGGGGCCCTGCCCGCGAGGGCCGCAGGAGTCGTCGGCGCTCCTGCGGCGGCCTCCTCCTCCTCCTCCTCCTCCTCCTCCTCCTCCTCCTCCTCCTCCTCCTCCTCCTCCTCCTGCTCCTCCTCCTGCCCCTCCTCCTCCTCCTCCTCCTCCTCCTCCTCCAGGACGCGGCGGGCGGCGGCGGCGCCGGCGGAGGGCGGCGGGAGGCTGGAGGAAGCCACCGGAAGCAACAGGTTAACCCCACAAGAGATTTCGTTTTGTTTTTTGTTCGGGGGGGGGATAGGGTTCCAGGGCACCGCTGCACGCATGTGGATACGGTTGTACAGGCGTGCATGTAGACGTGGATGCAGATGCAT